TACTATGTTGTGGTACGTCAGTCAATATTTGATCTACCGTACGTCGTGAATTTTTTAGCTGACCTAGCGAATCATTTGAATTATTTTGTCTAATAACTGTACATTAACAAGAAACGTGTCTACACATTAATTATTTTATACGCATAATACTATACACCTTTTGAAATAGTCGCATATAAATTTCTTTCGCAGTTTTGACAAATAACTTTTAGTATTTTCAAAGGTTGAGTATCCGATTTTACTACTTTTCTATTAAACAGAATGGATAAAATATGACTTTCTAATGTGATATTCTATCGGTATATATTGTGTTACAGATCCGCATACACATCATATTATTACAATGCTCATGCTTAATTCATGCAACATTCGGGAAACTTTGTGTGGATTCGCTTAACTTAAATATCAGTGGAACACACTATACTGATTTTATTGATGTCAGAATAGTGTTAAACGTAAAGAAATGGTGAATTAATAAAGCAGAATGACTAATAATATCGCATTTTCATGTAAATCACTCAAGACTAAATTATAGCATCGAAGGATTCAAAAATTTATCTTATACTTGCATATTGGTAATGATACATCTAGAGTTATAAAGTCATCTGATATCACGTTTCGTGACTTTAAATAGTCAGGATCAAACAGCTTAGTGACGGTTAGAATAGGGTTATACATCTAACCTGAGCAAATGTATTGCAGTAAAAACTGAGTGTTCGGAAAAGTGTTGTAATGCAAATAGAAAATTACGAAGATGATACTCAACACTCGACATGAAACAGAACAAAGGTTTGGAGTGCTGTAGTCACTTTGTGAAGCTTAACAGAGGGTTAATAAAAATGCGCCTTAGATTTTATACCTGATATGTATAAACTAATATTAAAATAAACGATTCAAGCACCAAATATATGTTATAAAACATATATTCTAAAACGATTTCATAGGGTAGATAAGAATGATGGGTCATGAAATGTACATAATCATAAGTCAAGAGCCAATCTGATAATGCTGAAGGATAATTTTGTTTTCAAAAACGTAAATCGATTCGTCTGCGTTTGTACATATGATTCTCGATTGAATCATAATCCCTCTGACAGGAAACAAAGTAAAATGTTCTTCTGGTGAGACCTTAAAGGATAGCTTGAATCTACACACTCATTTGGATTGAATGATATAATATGAATTATATAAAATTCTCTTCTTATTACTGAAGTCATATATTTTAAAAATATAGTTAGATACTACTTAATCCAGGCACTTTCTGTAAATGTTTTGTTTCACCGTTTTAAGTGATTATTCCAATTCAAGTTTGATTAGTTTATGTTAACCAGACCTACATGCATATTATGATATGAAAGTATTTAACCAAAGAAAAAAATTGATGTCATCTAGAAAAAGGATTATACTTCAGGTCAATCTCTTAAAAACTCCGCCTGAAGTCCCTCCGGGGGCTACTGCCGGTCCCAAGCCCGGATCAAGGAGGAGGGTTGGGCATGGGGTTAGCGTCCCCATCCCGTAGAAAACTAACTCGCTAAAAAAACGCTAACTAGAAAAAATTATTCAAACCTTTTAAACTCTGCCCTGGGAGTCAGAAGGTCTTCATTTAGAAGAATTATGACGCCTCATGATGTAAGCCGAATTCCTTCGGAAGTTACGAGGCCGATGCACCTTCTGACAACCTGAGCGACCATTTATTTAGGTACATGGAATGTTCGTACAATGTGGGACACCGGGAGAGCCTTCCAAATTGCTGCAGAAATGAGAAGATACAACCTAGAGGTGCTTGGGATCAGTGAAACACATTGGACACAAGTTGGACAACAACGACTAACTTCAGGGGAGCTTCTGTTATACTCCGGCCATGAAGAAGAAAATGCACCACATACACAAGGAGTTGCATTGATGCTGTCCAAACAAGCGCAAAATGCACTTATAGGATGGGAATCTCATGGACCAAGGATCATCAAAGCCTCCTTCAAAACAAAGAAAGAGGGCATTTCAATGAACATCATCCAATGCTATGCGCCTACCAACGACTACAATGAAGACGCTAATGATCAATTCTACAATAGGCTGCAGTCAATCGTCGAGAAGTGCCCAACAAAGGACCTGACCATTCTGATGAGAGATTTCAATGCCAAGGTTGGAACGGACAACACTGGATATGAAGACATCATGGGACGACACGGACTGGGAGAAAGAAACGAAAATGGTGATAGATTTGCAAACCTATGTGCCTTCAATAAACTGGTCATAGGCGGCACCATATTCCCACATAAACGCATACACAAAACCACATGGACTTCACCGGATCACTCTACACAAAACCAAATCGACCATATTTGCATCAACAAAACGTTCAGGAGGACTATAGAAGACGTGAGAACCAAGAGAGGAGCTGATATAGCATCAGATCATCACTTGCTGGTCGCCAAGATGAAATTGGAACTCAAGAAGCACTGGACAATGGGGCGGACAATATCACAAAAGTTCAATACGGCCTTTCTCCAGGATACTAACAAACTCAACCAATTCAAGATAGTCCTCAGCAATAAGTTCCAGGCCTTTCATGATCTACTCAATGGAGAAGGAACTACTGTGGAGAGCAACTGGAAGGGGATCAAAGAGGCAATCACTTCAACGTTACATGAGGTTCTCAGCCATAAGAAGCACCATCACATGGAATGGATCACTGTTGATACACTGGATAAGATTCAAGAAAGGAGGAACAAGAAGGCAGCAATCAATACCAGTCGAACAAGAGCAGAAAAAACCAAGGCACAAGCTGAATACACAGAGGTTAACAAACAAGTGAAGAAGTGCATCAGAACCGACAAACGTAAATATGTGGAAGATTTAGCAACGACGGCGGAATAGGCTGCAAGAGAAGGAAACATGAGACAATTGTATGACACGACAAAAAAACTCTCTGGAAATTGCCGCAAACCAGAACGACCAGTGAAAAGCAAGGAAGGCAAAGTAATCACCAACATTGAAGAACAACGAAACAGGTGGGTAGAACGCTTCAAAGAACTCATGAAACAACTAGCCCCATTGAACCCACCCAAAATCGAAGCAGCACCCACGGACCTCCCAATCAATGTTGGCCTACCAACAATTGAAGAAATCAGCACGACCATCAGACAAATCAAGAGTGGAAAAGCGGCAGGACCAGAAAACATTCCAGCAGAGGCACTCAAAGCAGACGTAGCGGTAACTGCAAGGATACCCCACATTCTCTTCAATAGGATTTGGGATGAGGAACAAGTACCAACAGACTGGAAAGGACTTCTGGTCAAAATACCAAAGAAAGGCGATCTCAGAAACTGTGATAACTACAGGGGCATCACTCTTCTCTCAATACCGGGAAAAGTCTTCAACAGAGTATTGTTAAACATGATAAAGGAATCCGTAGACCCCAACTTCGAGACCAACAGGCAGGATTCCGTAAGGATCGGTCGTGTACAGACCAAATCACAACACTACGAATCATTGTGGAACAATCAATTGAATGGAATTCATCACTCTACATCAACTTCATTGACTACGAAAAGGCATTTGATAGCGTGGATAGAACAACACTATGGAATCTTCTTCGACACTACGGCGTGCCCCAGAAGATAGTCAATATCATACAGAACTCATATGATGGATTACACTGCAAAATTGTGCATGGAGGACAGTTGACAAAGTCGTTCGAAGTGAAGACCGGTGTTAGGCAAGGTTGCTTACTCTCACCCTTTCTCTTTCTCCTGGTGATCGACTGGATCATGAAGACGTCAACATCTGAGGGGAAGCATGGGATACAATGGACATCTAGGATGCAGTTGGACGATCTAGACTTCGCAGACGATCTGGTCCTTCTATCCCAAACGCAACAACAGATGCAGGAGAAGACGAACAGTGTAGCAGCAGCCTCAGCAGCAGTAGGTCTCAATATACACAAAGGGAAAAGCAAGATTCTCTGATACAACACAGCATGCACCAATCTAATCACAATTGACGGAGAAGATTTGGAAGATGTGAAAACCTCTACATATTTGGGCAACATCATTGATGAACAGAGTGGATCTGATGCAGATGTGAAGGCGCGGGTCGGCAAAGCAAGAGCAGCATATTTACAACTGAGGAACATCTGGAACTCAAAGCAACTGTCAACCAACACCAAGGTCAGGATTTTCAATACAAATGTCAAGACAGTTCTACTATATGGGGCAGAAACCTGGAGAACTACGAAAGCCATCATCCAGAAAATACAGGTGTTTATTAACAATTGTCTACGCAAAATACTTCAGATCCGTTGGCCGGACACTATTAGCAACAACGTACTGTGGGAGAGAACAAACCAGATCCCAGTGGAGGAAGAAATCAGGAAGAAGCGCTGGAAGTGGATAGGACACACATTGAGGAAAGCACCGAACTACGTCACAAGACAAGCCCTCACATGGAATCCTCAAGGTCAAAGGAGAAGTGGAAGACCAAAGAACACATTACGCCGAGAAATGGAGACCGAGATGAGAAAAATGAACAAGAATTGGATAGAACTAGAAAAGAAGGCCCAGGACAGAGTGGGTTGGAGAATTCTGGTCGGCGGTCTATGCTCCATTGGGAGTAACAGGCGTAAGTAAGTAAGTTAGTAAGTAAGCAATCTCTTAAAAGAGATTACATTGGGTTAAAATGTTTCCAAGTATAGAGAACTACACTTTAATTAAAAGAACAACATCGGTATTTAAATGAATACAATAATTCCATAAGTATTTCCTTCTATTAAAATACCATATCAAGTATATGATATTAGCTCTTCATATGATTTCGCATTAAAAATAAATAGAATAGATTAGTTACTAAACCTAATCAGCTGTAAACTAATCATTTTTATTTCCTTACTTTTCATTGGTTATTTATTTCCCGACAATGTGGCATTCTGATTGGTTAATTTATCACAAACTTTTCTATATATAAATTGCTCAGAATAAAAAAACAAACAGAACATGATATACTTTATATTAAATTTATAATTAAATGAACGTCAACTTATAAACAAAACTTGATTACATAATCTTCTTTTATACCATATGAAAATGATTGAAGATATTTGTAGTAATTCTAAACTATTCCTATCAAAAAGTCTTGATTTTATATTAACAACAAATAGTCAACTATCTGAATCAAATACAAATAGAACGAATCATTATTTAAATAAACATGATAATTCATCATTATTATTTTTAAATGAATATATTAAAAATGTAACAGAAAAATTAAAAGGTATACAAAGATTTAAACAGCAATTATATATATGCAATATAATTAATTTATTATGGATGTATATACCACCAATTATATTTATACTTGGAAGTTTAGGTAATATTTTATCATTTGTTATATTAAGACATTCATCAACTGGTTCAATGACAATATTTGTTTATTTAATTGCTCGTTCAATTGTTGATGAAATAGTATTAACTATTGGATTATTACGTAGATGGTTTGATAAAATATTTGATACAAAATTTGAGAATACATCAAATTTTATGTGTAAAATGATACATTTTTGGGGAACATCATCAAGTTTATTATCTGTATGGTTAACTGTAAGTTTAACAGCAGAACGTGCATTAGTTGTTAGTTTTCCATTACATGTTTCACGATTAATTAGTTATAATCGTGTAAGAAATCTTATCATAATTTTAAGTATATTATGTGCAATATTAAGTTTACATTTTTGTTTTACAGTAGGAATTACTTCAAATTGTTCTCATAAATTTTCTAAACCATCATCTTCTTCTACTTCATGGTTAACAACAAATCAAACTATACAAATGAATTTAACTATTCCATTTATTAATCATAATACAAAAATAAAATGTTTTGAACAATGTTCTATTTTACCACAATATTCTTCATTAAATTGGTATTGGTCTTCATTTGATGCAATTTTATATTCATATTTACCATTTTGTTTAATATTTACATTTAATATTATTATATTAAAATCAGTATATTATGCAAATAAACAACGTAAACAATTACATATACTACATAATTCTACATTTAAATCATCAAAAAATCAATTATTATTATTATCATCATCATCAACGTCATCATCATTTATAAAAACAAAATCAATAATCAATCAAAAAAATAAACAAATCAATAATATAAATGATAATATCAAACAATTAACCATTATATTATTGATTATATCATTTTCATTTTTATTTACAACATTTACAATTGTATTTATAAAAATTTTAGCGCAAAATTTAAATTTAAATGATAAAAATAAATTAAATCTAAGAATATATTTACGTTTAATCGATACTATAGCTGAATTATTTATGTATATTAATCATGCAATGAATTTTTATTTATTTTGTGCAACTGGTAAAACATTTCGTAAACGTTTATTCTCATTATTATTATTATTATTTAATCAATGTAAATATAATAAATTTAATTGTAATCAAAATAATGATTGTTTTTCATGTTTATTATTATATTTTACTCATTCTAATCATCATTTGAATACAAATAAACAATCAAATGAGAATGATATAAATCAAATGAAACCAATGAATAAAATGAATTATAATGATGTTACAATAACATTTGATTCACAAAACATAAATCTATGTAATAGAATACAAATGAATGAAATACCAAATATTGAAGATAAGAATACAACAATGGAATTAATATCATATAGATTAAGTACATCTTTAATAAATAATTCATGTCATATATATATGAATTATAATATTGAAGATAATTATGATTCTGATACAATTAATAGTAATAATAATAATAATAATAATAATAATAATAATAATAATAATACATGTCTTGATAAATCAAGAAACAAACTTTGTAATGAAAGTAATGAACAATTATCATCAATAATAAAACATTTTTCTAAAATTAAAAGTATTCCTAATCAACTATATTATGACAGAAGAAAACTGTGTCATCATCATCATCATCATCATCATCGTCAACAACGACAACATATCGGTAGGAATTTCAGCTTTGATGAAAATCAACATAACATTGAAGATAATGAAAGTAGATATTCAAAATCGGAATCTTATAAACGACAAACATCTAGAGAGTCTTTACAAACTATATAACAAAACGTATTTTCTTTGTTTTTAAAATATAAAATTTCAGAGTTTTAATAAATACTTATTTAGGAATGTGTTTAATTCAGATTAGATTTTAGTTTATTTAAAATCTTTACATAATTTACTATTCATGTTTATGATTCAAATTGTAAATCAATATTGTTCTTTTTTGAAAATAAATCCTGTTTACTGTTGTTTTTCTTTTGTTTTAAAGGTTTGATTTCTATGTACAACTAGTAATAGATGATATTTTTTTGAGTACCACAATAGGGCTTCCAGGTTTTCTATGATGGTCTAGCTTCAACTGACTCATGATCCTAACCATTGAAATTACTATAATATCCACGAAACCCATCCGATATTAATGAACATATGATCACTAGTGACTGGCTTTAAGAGGCATATCCTGGAGTTCTAGTGAGAAGTACTGACCAGTGGAGTCCAACCAGGTCTGTTGTGAGATAGTAACTCATTGAGATCAGTGGTGAATGTATCACTAGATTTCGTGGATTAGTTGAAGTAAGACATTAAATACCTGTGGATGCCAACTTAGTGGACTAGAAGTTAAGCGTTCATTCGCGAGACCGATAGATCCTGGGTTCGAATCTCGCAGGGGCGAGATCGTGGATGAGCACTGCTGAGAAGTCCCACAACAGGACGAAACGGTCATCCAGTGCTTCCAGGTTTTTCATGGTGGTCTAGCTTCAACTGACTCATGATCTTAACCATTGAGATTAATTATTTATATTTACTAGCCTAACTGACACACTCCATATAGCATAATAATAAACAGTAATAAAATAATGACAATAACTATGTAAAAACATTGATAATGGTGGAAGAAATGAGTATTTATATGTTAATAAACGTGAAAGTTCTAGAAAAAACAAACAAACATTAAGATACGTAAATATTACCAAATAAATGAAAATTGTTATCAACATTAATTTAGAACAGTCACAACACTGAATAGATTAACAAGGTAGAATGAGTAAAACATAGAAATGATATGAGAATGAAGAAAAGAAATTTTTTTTAGTTGAGCTTGTGAATTCTTTCATTAATTAATGATCAACAGAAGTTATTAGGATAACATGATATCTAAAATCATATCCTTTTGAATGTATTAGGGGTGAATAATATATTTTAGATCATTTCATTGAAGTTTTTCTTTTAATGTTGTTTTATTTGTCAAGAGATTGTAATTCTATTAGACATGCGATAAAATGAAACTATAATTTACTTTCACGAGTTTTTGTTGTTGCTCTTGTTGTTGTTGTTGAAGAAGAAGAAGTAATTGTTTTCATCAGGATATGCTTTATTTATGTAGAATTCTCTTTTTTTTCTCAATAGTTAAGTCTTACAGGTGTATTACACTATTTTCATCAATAATGGATTCCTACCACCTTATACCGCTAATTTAAAATTTTGAAAAATTCCCATAATATCATTTACAATAACATATATAAGTGAACAATATTGTTTTAGATTAGATACTTATCAGGCTTTGCTCTAACATACAGTAATATTTATATGCATATACGAAATTATCAAACTAATTAAGGCAGTTTATGAATTCATCTGCTCCTGTGTAGAAAGCAATATTGGGCGCACAACCAGACAATTAAACCAGAGTTAGTGAACACCTCCCCTCGTGGTTAGGAAAAAGTACTGTCAAGATAATACGCAGCTCGGTCCCATCACACTTGATCGACAGCGGTCATGTAGTAGACAAAAATAGGTCATTTCAAGTTATTTGTCGTATTCCCACTGGTTTTCCTTATGGTGTTCGATCTCATCTATTACATATAGGAGAAGCTATAGACATTCGAGCTACCAATCGAAATCTTTGTGTTCATAAGACATTCGTAAAACCCTTATCTCTCTCTTCGCCTTAATTAATGATTTTATTTGTTATTATGTTCCATAATTGTCCATTATTATTTCACCCCCTCCTATCATTTTATTTTATTTTCCCTCAAATATACGCCTCACGGTCCAATTATCTGAACACTTCTTATTACGTAATCTTATAATATTTTATGAACGTTATTTCAGTGTCTATATTTTTCTAGTCGTTGACCTATTTCCCATTATATAACATTGATTCAAGCCTTTATTGTTCTTACCACAACTAGTACACCTATCATCACACTAACAATTTGTACTTTTCACTTATTTATGTAATCCATTACACAGTTATCATTGACTCATAAACTGCCTTAGTTAGTTTAATAATTTCGTATATGCATATAAATATTACTGTGTATTAGAGTAAAGCCTGATAAGTATCTAGTCGAAAACAATATTGATCGTTTATGTGTTATTTTAAAAATTATGGCAAATTTTTGAAAGTACAACAATCTTATCAAAATACAAAATTCTTTAATGGAGTTATTATAAACTTTATAATAACGAATAATAATAAAAGATATTGACTAAGTTGAAATTATGTTATGGCTTGTGACCGTCGATTAGAGTGCAGTGACGTATCGATCGGAACAATGACGCGTAAACCCGTATGAGTAGCCTAGGGTTCTGATTGGTCCTGCTTTCCGCCTAGCCCAGCCAGTTAAGTCCAGAACACCAATCCGAGCGTAGAGGCATGAATCATTATATTTCAAACATACTGAGTTTATATACTAATCAAACGGTAAACATTTACTACACGGCCACTCGAAAAAAATACAAAAATGGCCGTGCAGTAAATGTTTACCTAATCAAACAGACCACAACATAGCATAAAATAGAAAATAACATTTGTACAAAATTTGGCCAAATGTGGCTGTGAATGTGTGAGGCAGTGACTGATTGACAGGGCATAATTCAAGACTGGTAAAACGTATAATAATGGTTCATAGGTCAAAATAAAGCTTATAATAAGAGGAACATGAATATGAATAGTTTAGTTATTTAACAATTATACGATAAAAATATACGTTTAGAATTGCTCCATCAATAGATCCTAAAAGTTACCATTCATTATTCTTGTCGGGACATAACACATTAATAAAATAGTAACCATCATAAATTGATCTCAATTTACTTTACTAAACATTATAATTAAGAAAACAGAGAGAAAAAGAAAAAGACTATCTAAATTAAAAATGAACTCAATAGGTCGTTAATGCACATCGATGAAGAGTGTCATACTAGGATGGAACGATATTCAATATATTTTTTAATTTATATCAGTCCGTGATTTCACCGAAACTCCTCTATGCTTTACACAAGTCATTAATGTTTTCAGAATGGTTTCTTACAACTGTAATATTCCTTTCATTTTCAATGTTCATTATAATGATTTAGCATTCTCAAATAATGACATATTTATTCATAGATTACTGATCTGTAGAGCAAAATAAAACATGAGGTTTCTGGAGTAAAGATTTAAGCCATCATTTCGATTATTACTTTGTGACTTAATTTTTGCGTAAAAGAAACATGTTTTTTAGAGAACTAAGACTCAAATAATAAAATATACTCCTGAAAACGTTTTCAGTAACTTAACCAACTTCTCAATAATTTTAAGAGAGGTAAGTACTTAACAACAAATCATTTTTTCATTATATTCCTTCAAAATCATCCATGGAAAACGAAATACAGTATGTTTCTAACATCAACCCAATATTAAATGACAAAATTTATTAAACTTGGACAGTCTTGTTTTTCTTATTCTGATTAAAATTGTTTACAAATATCGTTATTGTATATAAAGTATAATCACGTTTACTTAATCTTTCTTGGGATTCGATTTAAATTTTTTCTAATTTATGCAAAACTCCTTAACAAAGCCTAGTGATTGAATAGAAACCATTTTATTGACATTTATAGTTGACATTGATTTAACTGAATATGACTTAGTTCATTCAAACACAATATGTAAAGAAATTCAACTAACATACTACTACAAAGTTATTCTCTTGAAAAATATTGCATAATAACGGTATTATCTACTGATATTAAACAGTATAACTATGTATGTTCACTTTTTTCGAGATATCGGTACATTTGACCTAGATATTATTACCCAAGTGATTTCGTTATTGTTTTGGATAACAACAAGGAAACTTGCTTGAATAGAGACGAAATCTTTAATGTAGATTTATAACAATTCCAATTCCCAATCGGGACGTTTTCGGTTAAATTATTTAGGTCAAACGACGAATTCATAGTCAGTAAGTATATGAAACAAATGCAGGAAACCACAAAAATAGATACTTCATCCATAGAATCCTTGGTTTTTGGATTCATTATGTGTAAACAAAACATTGAAGTATCAGAAGATAATCTTTTAAAAAAAGAAAACATAACATTCTAGATTACTTGAGATAATCAATGTTCTCAAGCACGCAACAAAAGTAATATAAACAGATAGTGAGAGATGAAGTGGGTAAGTGAACGGAGGGCAAACATGTAATCATTTAGAATATCATCTAATTCAAAAAAAATAATAAATGAGTTAGACAAATAACTTGAAATTTGTAGCGACACAGAAAACCAAATAAATCTGTCATGAACCTAATAACATTTGAAATATGGAGATGCTATGAACAGGTTTTTAAGAAACTTGTAATGTTATCAGACACTGCTTTTTGCATGTAAGCCTACATTAAATTTGTCTTTAGGCTCTTGCTCAAAGAGAATAAGTGAAGTATCAATTTTGCAAAATTCTTCAATACATCAATTTAATTTCCTATCCATTGCATGACAATACTCTGTGATTCCTTAAGACATTTCATTGTATCAGAAGGGGTTTTGTGGAGATTGTAGTAATCTAAACAGTTTGAGATCATGATTCAATTGAAGTTAGACCACCATGGAAAACCTGGTAGCATTGGACGGCCATTTCATTCTATTGTGGGACTCTTCAGCAGAGCGCATCCACAGCCCCGCCTTGCGGGATTCGAACCCAGGACCTATCAGTCCTTCTGATACTAATCAACATATGCTCACTAGTGACTGGCTTCAAGATATATATCCTGGAGTTCTAGTGAGAAGCAGTGACCAGTGGAGTTCAACCGGGTCAGTTGTGAGGTAGTAACTCACTGATGACAATGGTGGATGTGTCGCTCAATTTCGTGGATTAGTTGAAGTTAGACATTAACACCGTTGGATGCCGTCTCAGTGGTCTAGTTGGCTGAGCACCTGGTGCGAGACCGATAGGTCGAGATCGTGGATGAGCACTGCTGAGGA